CTCCGGATACCCCCCACCCCCCTCCTCCCCCCACGGCTGGACGTGGCAGTGGCATCGCAGCGGGACCGTCCCCTCGTCCTCCGTGTGCCATCACTGTGACTGTGCGGGGACGCCAGCGCTCGGCCCGGGGCCGGGGGTGAAGACGGGACACGCGGCCACCCCCGGGCACGGCAGGAGCGGGGACTCGCCGCCGGGACACCCGGACCACACCCCCCGCACTCAGCACAACCGGTGCCACCGGGCCCGGCCCCGTTGGTCCTCGCGGGAGGGAAGGACGGTGTCACATGGGGATGGCCGTGTCACCCTTTGGGGACAGTCACGCGCGTCCCGGGCCCCCCCTCGCCCCCGTCCCCACGCCATAGCGCTCTGCTCCTGCGGGCAGAGCCCCGGGGCGGGGGCAGCCCCTGCGCGGTGCCCGTGTCCCCCTGACCGCTGTCCCCCCAGCCCCACCTTGGCGCCCCCCGTGCCCCCCGTGCCCGTGCCGCAGCCGGAGCCGCCAGCCCAAGCACAAAGCATCGGGTCCGCGGGAGGTCCTGACCCAGCACAATCCTGGCGAGCTCCGGCGGGAGATCCCCGGCCCCACAGCCAGCCGGGCCCCCCCCCGCTGCCCCCTCCCCACCGATGCCGCGGGCCGGGCGCTGCCGCGGGGCCCCGCTGGCCCCTCCAGTGCCACCCCGTCCTCAGAGTCCCCCCGCGGGGTGGCCTGGCCCCACACCCCCGGGACCCCCGACGCCCTCCAGCTCTGGCGCAGCCCCGCTTGTTCCCCCCTGGCCGGAGCAGGGTCCCCGCGCTGTCACCAGCCCCTCGTCCCCTCGAGGTTTGTCCCCTCGCTCCGGCCCCGCTCCTTCCCCCGCCGCCACCGGGGTGTCCCCGAGGGGGTGTCCCCGGGCAGGCCGAGCCCCCCCAGCTCCCCGCACCCCCCCGGCTTTTTACACGAGGATCCGAGCGCCCAGGGGACAAGGTGACGATGTAGCCTTTATTCTAGAAATAGTCTTCCTTCAATAAAGAGACGAGAAACGCTCCCGCGTCCCCGGAGCCGCCCCCGGCCGGGGCGGGAGGCCACGGGGGGGTCACGGGAAGGGGGGCGAGGTGAGTGTGACGTGATGGGTGTGCACGCGCCCGTGGGGGCAGCCACGGCTCCGAGGGACGGCCACAGACACGCGTGTGCAGGTGTGGGGCGCGTGTGATGTGTGTGCAGGGCCGTGAGCACGCGTGGCATGTGACATTTGTGTGTGTGTGGCACAAATGTGACAGCGGGCACCCCTCTGTGTGTGACACAAATGTGACAGCAGGCACACCTGTGTGTGTGACACGAATGTGACAGTGGGCACAGGTGTGTGTGTGTGTGACACAAATGTGACAGCAGGCACACCTGTGTGTGTGACACAAACATGACAGTGGGCACAGGTGTGTGCGTGTGTGACACAAATGTGACAGTGGGCACAGGTGTGTGTGTGACACAAATGTGACAGTGGGCACAGGTGTGTGTGTGTGACACAAATGTGACAGCAGGCACACCTGTGTGTGTGACACACATGTGACAGTGGGCACAGGTGTGTGTGGCACAAATGTGATGTGTGCACACCTCTGAGTGTGTGACACGAATATGACAGCCGTCGCACCTCTGTGTGTGACACGAATGTGACAGCGGTCACACCTCTGCGTGTGTGTGACACGAGTGTGACGTGTGCTCCGTGTGTGTGACACGAATGTGACAGCGGTCACACCTCTGCGTGTGTGTGACACGCGTGTGACGTGTGCTCCGTGCGTGTGACACGCGCGTGCCCTGTGCCCTGCTCGTGCCGCGCCCGCGCGTGACGTGCGTGTGACACGTGTGTGACACGTGTGACGTGCCCGCGTGTCGCTGTCCCCGCCCGTGCCCGCGGGGAGGGGGAGGGGGGCGGGAGCGCGGCGCGTGCGTCATCACGCCCGTTGCCATGGAAACCAGCGCTGCTCCCCGGGCGCGGGAGCCGCGTGGGCTCCGGGAGCGGGCGGGGGGAGCGGGGGGGAACGGGGCTGCCGCGGGCACCGGGGGACCGGCCAAGGGCACGGCCCGGGGATGGAGCGGATCCGTGGGGATGGATGGGCAGGGATCCACAGGGATGGCACCAATCCACGGGGAAGGGCATGGGTCTGTGGGGATGGGCACGGACCTGTGAGGATGGGCACGGATCTGTGGGGATGGGCACGGGTCTGTGGGCATGGCACAGACCCGTGGGGATGGGCACAGATCCACAGGGATGGCACCAATCCGTGGGGATGGGCAGGGATCTGTGGGGATGGGCACGGGTCTGTGGGGATGGGCATGGGTCTACAAGGATAGCACAAATCCATGGGGAAGGGCATGGGTCTGTGGGGATGGGCATGGATCTGTGGGCATGGCACAGACAGTGGGGATGGGCATGGATCCACAGGGATGGCACCAATCCATGGGGATGGGCAGGGACCCGTGGGGATGGTGATGGATCCAGATGGATGGTGATGGATCTTAGGGATGGATGGTCATGCATCCATAGGGATGGTGATGGATCTTAGGGATGGTTGTGGATCTGTGTGGATGGTGATGGAGTTGTGGGAACGGCCACAGCTCTGTGGGATGGTCACAGATCCATGGGGATGCCCTGAGCTCTGTGGGGACAGTGCCAGCTCTGCAGGGATGTCACAGCTCCCTGGCACTGCCCATGGGAACTCCTCCTGTCCCCATGTCCCTTCTGTGGCCTGGGGGCATCCCGGGCCCCCTGTGGGTGCCAGGGCAGGACAGTGGGACAGGCACACATGGGCATGGGGACACTTGGTGCCACTCCCCACCTGCTGGGACCCCTCAGGACTCTCAGGCATTCTGGGTGGCACCATCACACCAAAACTCAGAGCGCTTCCAGAGGCTCCACAACGCCTTGGGGGCAGAAAATCTCCTCTTCCCCCTTTCCCGGGTCTCCCCCTCCCCATCTCTGTCCCCTCGCACTTCCCCCCACCTAATGGGGACCTGTGCCCGCCGTGGCAGGGGACGCCCCGGTCCTGCTGCAGCCCCGGGTGTCCCTCGGGATGCTGCCCGGGATGGAGGATGCTTTCCCTGGGAAGCGCCGGGTCCCTGCAGCCTCCCCAAACCCCATCCTGAACCCCAAAAACCAGCGTCAAACCCCATCCTGAGCCCCCAAAAACCAGCGCAGCCCCGGGAGGGAGGATCCTCGCCGGGCGCCCGGAGCCTCCCCCGGGTCCAGGCGTTAATCAAAGCTGCTCCTGAGCGTTAATTAGCGGGATGAGCCCTGGGATGAGCCGCTCCCATCGCTCCCTCCGCCACGAGCAGTCCTGGCTGCATCCCGCGGCCATCAATTTCACAAATGCAGATTTTGGGACCCGAACCAGCTCCTGGCATCGTGTCTCGCGCTGGCATCGGCGCTGTGTGGAATATTGTCCCTTGTGTCCCCTACCGGGGGGACACCGCGGCCCCGGCACCCGGGGCTGCCCATCTGCGGGAAAAGCGGATTAGGACTCGGCGGGCCGGGACATACGGGAGCAAACTGGATTAGGGGGAAAATCAGCCTTCTTCCCACTAACAGGATTATGGAGTTTTCAGCCCGATTCCAGCGCCGGCGAGGGTTGTGCCCTGTGCGCCCGACAGCGGAGCCACGTCCCCGCCGAGGTGGGGACACCCGGGCTCGGCATTTCCCCACCTCAATTCCTGCTGGGATCGCAGCTGTAACTGGTGCGTACTGGTGCGGGCCAGCGCAGAGCGGGATGCGCTGGGAAGCGATGGCGGCTGCCCCGGGGACGCGGCTGTGTCCCCCCACGGTGACTCCCGGACCAGGCACCACCGGGACCCGCCGGCCGCGCTCGCCCGGTGCCTGTGGCAGCCCGGGGGGAATCAAAGCCTCGATTCAGGGCGTGATTTCCGCTCCCCCCGCGCCGCCGGCGTGACTCCCGCCCGCCGCTGATTCATCCCCACGGATTTTCCCCCCGGTTCCCGGGGCAGCAGCTCCCCGAGGTGGGTGGGGGCACGGCGAGGCCGCGACCCCCGGTACGCAGGGCTGGGAGGGGCTGTGCCCCGGGGTGGGTTGGGGGGTTTGGGGGGCGCCGAGCCCTGCAGAGGGGTCACAGAGGGGGTCCGGAGGAGCACGGCCCCGGGGAGACCCGGGGGGGCACCAGGGCCGCCACCCACCGGGGGATCCCCGGGGTGTCCCCTCCCGGTGCCTCGCGCCCCGGCCGCCACGTGCCCCCTCCCACCTTATTAATATTAATGAGATATTTATGAGACCACGCCCCATATCCAGCCCCGCGCGCTGATTGGCAGCTTCTCCCGCCGCTCCTCCGCTGGCCCCGCCCCCTCCCCGGCCTCCCTCCGCGCCGCCGCCGCCGCAACCGAACTTGGCGGCCGCTCCCGGCCCCGCCTCCCGGCCGGCCCTCCCCCCTCGCGCCGAGCTCCGTGGGCTCCCATTGGCTGCCGCCGCTGTCCGTCAGGCACGCGGGGCGGGGCCGGCGCCGCCCGCGGGCCAGCAGGGTGCGTTGCGCCGCGCGGTGTCTGAGGCGGCGGCTCCGCTCCGCGCCCGCCGCGCCCGCTCCCGCCGGTAGCGGTGAGGAGCCGCCGGGAACGGGGCGGGACGGCCGGGGACAGCGCGGGGGGGACGCCCGGCTCCCTCAGGCCGCGGCTTGGCGGAGGGAGGGACCCTCGGAGGGTCCCCACGGGGGTCACAGCGCTGGGAGGGATTTTGGCACAAGGCTCAGGGCGAGGAGATGACGTGGGGGTGTTTGGGGGGCACGGAAAGGGGCCGCGGTGGATTTTTGGGAGGTCTCCAGGTTTTTGGGTGAAGGGATTGAGGGGATGGGGGCAGAGAGGGGTGGCTGGCGCTGAGGGTGGCGTGAGGGGCAGCTTTGGGTGGATGAGGTGACAAGGGACAGTCGGAATCCATGAGGGGCATGGCTCACTGCCAGCTGCTTGGGAAGTTGGGTGACTTAACGGTGAACCAGCCCGGGTTTTGGGGTGAAAAAGGAGGCTGGCAGCTCGGCAGAACACCCAAGATCACATAATTTACTTGTTTGTTTCCCGCCGGCGAGTTGAGGGTGGGTTGGTGTGGCGAGGAGCGCGGCACAGCCGTGGCATTCCCGCCTGATCCGGGCAGGATTCGGGAGGCAGCGGGGAATTGTGTGGGTTACATAAAGGAGGGGTGGCTGCAGGATCTGGGTTTTGTGTTATTGAGGTGTAGAGGAGGTAAGTGGGTGCCGCAGACAAAGGGAGAGAGAGAGAGAGAGAGGAATCTGTCTCCTGCTCCTCACTTCCACTTGGAGGTGTGGAATGGGAAGCTGGGCGTCCTTTAGGAGTTGGGGAAGTGCAGGATTGGAGCTGTGGGTACAAATCTGGGCTTTGCCTCTGTCCTGTGGCCATCAGGTGTGGCCTTAAACCAAACCCAAAGGGGCTGGGCTGGAGCTGTGTCTGCTCTGAGACACCTCTGCTGCTGCTTGGAGAAAGTTATTGTGGTTAAATAAGGGGGTTTTTTGGGGGAAAACTGCCACCCTCCAGCTTTGTGAGCCTCATGGTGCTGCTCTGGACGTGTCCCATGGGAGTGATTCCTACCAGGAGGAAATCTGGTGTGTGACAGACCACAGGAGTCAGCAGCTCAGTATTAATCCAGGCAGACTCGAGGCCTTTTAGGTGATTGCTTGGTTTTCTTCAGCTGCTCAGAGCCCAGAGGCTTCTCAGGGCTGAGCTCAGGCCTCCATCCCCGGGAGGTTCCACAGGTCTTTGTGTCCCTGCCGTGTGGGACATTCACAGGCAGGTGAGCAGATCCTCCAGGCTGCAGCTCCCAGCTCAGCTCTGTGGCCACAAAACAAAGTCATGGGGATATGTGACTCTGTAGCCACCATTTATCCCGTTCTTTTGGGGGGAAAAAATGGGAAAAACACCCCCAAAAACCAAAACCATCCCATAAAACAAATTAATGGGGATTTGTGACTCTGTAGCCACCATTTATTGTGTTCTTTTGGGGGGAAAAATGGGCAAAACACCCCCAAAAACCAAAACCATCTCATAAAAGAAATTAATGGGAATTTGTGATTCTGTAGCCACCATTTATCCCATTCTTTTGGGGGGAAAAATGGGCAAAACACCCCCAAAAACCAAAACCACCCCATAAAACAAATTAATAGGAATTTGTGATTCTGTAGCCACCATTTATCCCATTCTTTTGGGGGGAAAAAATGGGAAAAACACCCCCAAAAACCAAAACCATCCCATAAAACAAATTAATGGGAATTTGTGATTCTGTAGCCACCATTTATCCCATTCTTTTGGGGGGAAAAAATGGGAAAAACACCCCCAAAAACCAAAACCATCCCATAAAAGAAATTAATAGGAATTTGTGATTCTGTAGCCACCATTTATCCCGTTCTTTTGGGGGGAGAAAAATGGGAAAAACACCCCCAAAAACACCTCATAAAACAAATTCATGGGAATTTGTGACTCTGTAGCCCCCATTTTTCCTGTTCTTTTGGGGGGAAAAAATGGGAAAAACACCCCAAAAAAGAATCTGGATCAATAGGGTTAAATGGAGCCGATTGTCCCAGAGGTTTTCTCCTGCCATCTGTGGCTGTGACACGAATGGAAATGGCTCTTTTGTGTGGCTGCTGGGGGCGCTGCCTCGCCTGACACAGTTTTGGTGCCCATTCCCGTTTTCCTGCTGCATCCCTGGATGTGTTCAACACCCCGGAGGGAATTCGTGCACCCGGAGCTGGAGTGGCAGCACAGCAGGGAGGGCAGCTGTGACAGGGGACACTGAGCTTTGTCCCTGCTCATCCCTCTCCTTGTCATCAGTCCCTGGAGCTCGTTAGCCTAACGAGGAGCCCAGCTCCTCGTCCCTGCCCTTGGCTCCAGAGGAACTGGACACTCTGCCCCTTGGAAAAGGCTGATTTGGTGGCAGTTTCCTGATTTGATGGCTGGTAGGGGATCGTGGCTGTCCCTGCCCTGTTAGAGCTGGGCTGGACGAGCTCCAGCTCTGGAATAATCGCCCTGGGAACTCTCTCTGCTTCAGGAGGGCTCCAAGTGGCCACTTGTCCAGTGGCCAGAGGGTGGGGGAAGCTGTTTGGGCACCCTGGGGAGGAGGTGGTGAGCACAGAGCTGGAGCTGGCACTTTAAAAAATCATTTTCTTGTCTTTTCAGGCCTAAAAATGAGCTCAGGGTGGAAAAATGGGATGATTTGGTTGGATTTGTAACCCCCAGTGCAGCTCTGGAAGAGTTTCCAGAGGCTGTGGGGAGAAGCAGAGCTGGCAGAGAGCTGGAAAAAATGGGGTGGATGACCCAAAAACCTGGAAAAGCAAGAGGGAATTTTGTGATTGTTTGGGGATTCTTGTGCCTGGAAAAAGAGTGAGGGGAAAAAGGGAATTATAGAATATAGAATATGTCTGTGTTGGTGTGAGATAAGTGAGGGCCCTGCTTGAGGCTGTAGATCCAGTGTTGCTTTCCTCATTTTTGTGAGAAATCAGAGGAGTTGAGGTCAGCAGAAATCCTGGAATGCTTTGGGTTGGAGGAACCTTGGCAGGGACATCTTCCACTACCCCAGGGTGCTCCAAGCCCCAGAATTCCAACCTGGCCTCGATGTAAAGATCTCACAGTTGAGCTTTGAGGTGGAAAGCTCTGATTGCTCCAATATCCTGGAATTCCTGAAGTGGTGAAACCTCTGATTCCAATATCCTGGAATTCCTGAAGTGGTGAAACCTCTAATTCCAATATCCTGGAATTCCTGAAGTGGTGAAACCTCTGATTCCAATATCCTGGAATTCCTGAAGTGGTGAAACCTCTAATTCCAATATCCTGGAATTCCTGAAGTGGTTCAGCCACAGGAATCTTCTGTGCAGAGCTGGATTCTGGATTTCCCAGCTGCAGCCTCTCCGAGCTCTCTGCTCAGGGTGTCTCTGTCCTCCTCACCTGTTGCCAGGTGATTTTTTTTTGCTTTATCTTCCTCTCCTCTGGCTTTTCCACAAACTGGGAAGGGAACAGAACTAAAAACATCAATCCAGTTCCCTGCCTGCCCGTTGTCACATTCAGCCAAAAAAAAAAGAGAAAAGAAAGCAAAGCTGGGAGACAGAGCTTTGTCTTAAATATTAATTAGCACGAGATTTACCCACTTAATTTGTACTTGACGATAAATTGCTGGGATTCAGAGAACTGGCAGAGCCCAGGCCTTGCTTTTGGTCCCCCCTGTTATCATCTGCTGCTGCTTGCTTGTGCCAAAAAGGGACAAAGGAGCCATTGTGCCCCAAACCTCGGTGACATTTGGAGTTTCTGAAAGTGAAACTCGCTCGCAAACGCTCTCGAGTTTAAATCTTCCCCCCAAAAACCGCTTCTGAAACGTTGTGTCTTGCACAATCCTGGTCCAAAATACCTTTTTCCTCCTCCAAAATACCCGAGCAGCCACTAATTAATTTAAAAAAACCCCAACCAAAAGCAGTCGTGGGGATAAATGTGTTTAATTCGGTGAATTTTTGCTGGTGGGGGCTCTGAGGGAGGATTAATCTTTGTTTTAAGGGGTGTAAGGAGCTGGATTTTTCCTGGGAATGAGCTCTGGGTTCAGCTGATGGTTCCCTTTCCAGCAGGGTTGGAATCTCCAGCAGTTCAGGGTTAGGTTTTTGTGGAATGGGTGGGTAGGGATTGGCTGTGACGTTAAGGACAAAAAAAAAAAAAAAAAAAAAAGGAGGAAATTCGGGCACGCTGTTAACGCCGAGACACAAAACAGGAAATTTAGTTAAGGGTTGTGCTTTTTCATCATTTGTCCTGTGTTTTTCCCCCTCCTGACAGACAAGAAGGAGTTTTAAAGTACTTCAGCCTGGGTTGGGTCTGTACAGCTGAAAACATTCCCGAATTTCCACGTAAAGATGGATTTTTAGTGACTTTTCAGAAGCTGAAAAAGCCAAGAAACCTCGGCAGCTCCTGCTTTATTTTTGTATTGGAGAAAACAGAGTTGTTTGAAAAATAATCTCACTCCTAATGAGGATGGGGGAGCAGGAAAACGGGCCCTGATTCCAGAGGGAAGGAGATTCCCCCTCTTGGCACTTCCAGGTCCCTCTCAGGTGACAGCAGGGAGGTGACAACCAGGGATGGACACTCTGCTAACACCCCCCAAAAAGCTTCTTTGTTTTATTCCCAACTTGTCCCTTCTGGAAATAAAAAAGAAATCTATTTTTTACATCTATAGAATAGTTTCGAAAGGGTTTTTTTTTCAGCCCTGGAGGAAATCTATAGAATAGTTTGGAAAGGGTTTTTTTTTTTCAGCCCTGGAGGCATTTTGTCCATTTCTGCCTCATCTGCTGTTAGGAAAATGCAGAAGATTGAAACATTTGTGGTGTGGTTTAACCCCTCCAAAGCTCCTCCCAAGCTTGGGAACTGCAGGAGGATTTCTCTGGATGTGCTGCAGGAGCTGCTTTTGGGAGTTTTTTTGTGGTTTTTTTTTTTCATTTCCTCCACTCTGAGTTACTTCTCTCTTTTTTCTTGCTGGCAAAGGCTCGGTGTTTATGCTCCATAAATCCTGACGTGGCCTGGCTGCTCCTCCAAGCACTTGTGGTGCAATTCCCAAACAAAGATTGG